CCCCCAAAACACTTTAACTTCACATTAATTTAGAGTATAGCCCACTCTCATTAGTTGAAAGGCAACTTCATATAACTTGAATAAAATTATTTCCCATTAGATTCTTGCTTGATGGTATATTAAAGTGTGTTCTTATTTTTAATACTATAAGCCAAGAAACCAGAAGATTATATTGATCAGCATGTAAACAAACTATGTCATCAACTTTCAACAGTCACTTGGTATGAGTGATCCAAAAAGACACAAATCCTGCTGATAGTGATGAGGTTGCTGGGCTTAAATTGTAGCACACTTCTTACTAGCTATGTAACCTTGAGCATGTTATTGAACTTTTTCTTGCCCGAGGTTCATCATCTATAATATGGAGCTGGTAAGAATAACCTACCTCAGAAGATTATTGTTGAGTAATAAATAAATTAACATATGTAAAGTGCATAATACATTTTAAGTTTTCAATAAGTTTAGCTAGTATTATTATTACCACCATAATTATTACAATGTGAACAGTTCTCTCCTTCTGTCATATCTTCAGTAAAATAAAGAATAGGTTCCGTAAATGTGGAGAAGGGCAGTAACAGAAGCTTGTTTGTCATAGTGCTAGGACTGACCCAAATTCTTCCACACCTGCCAAAATGGCATTTGATTCCTTCTATGAGCAACAAAACAAGTTAGTGTTATGCAAAAATCTGGAGAGTTTTAGAGCAAAGGAAACATAACCTGGAACGCATCTACCTAGAACTGAATTACTTAAGTTCTTTCCTCTTTTATTTTTCTTCTTGAAATAATATGAGATTTAGTATCAGAGAACCTGCTCCAATCCTGCCTTTGTCTTCTTATGAACCATGAGGCCTAGAGCCAGCTGGTAAATTCTCTGTGAACTGTTCTTTCTTCCTGGGTAACACGGGGCCTCTGATAACACTTTTTATTGCTGGCCAACTGCTGCTTTCTTTTCTAGCTGCTGCCATTGTCACTTTGACTCTGAACCTTTGTCCAATCCTGAGCTGGGGTGATGTTGGTCCTCTGTCCTTTATCATAGCAATTTTCTGTACCATTTATTTTCTTTTCTTGTTTCCCCTAGTAGCTTGAGCATCATCGGCAGGTGCATTTCTGTCTTTTTCACATTTGCACCATGCAAACTAGGGCCTAGTAGATGCTCAATTAAATTTTTAGCCATGATAAATTAGTCACAATAGCCATTTCAATTGGTTATACTCACTCCGTTGCTAACTTTATTCAGATGAGGAAGAGGATGATGCTCTAATTTAAAGAGCCACATTATATTCTGTACACTTGCCTGCTACAAATCTTTATGTGTGTATTTTGCTCCAAAGGATAAGCAGGCCGGACAGGATTGTCTAGATCTGGGTACCATGCCAATTATTTTTTTTCTCTTCTTTGTATATTTTATCAGTTGGAAAATGACAGGAATATTATGCATCAGTACTGGAGAGGCCATGAGGCTGAATACATATATCAGTTTTCAAATTTTATGGACTTCCAGCATGTTGTCAAAGAAATGTGCTGATCTCTCTTGCTCTTTCTGACTAGCTTAACTGCATATTTGCCCTTTAGAAATGTAATTATGTGGAGACTAATTATTGGGCTATTGCAGTTATTTAGGTGATAGGAAAGATAAAGGGGCTCTGACTGCCATAAAGATGAACCCTGAGGGGCAGAATGAAGAATCTTAGAAAAGAAGAGTCTGCAGGCTTTGGAGACTTTATAAAACATGGGATTTTGAGGATAAGTGAAAAGTCAAGAGTGATAATCAGGTTTCTGATTTTAGCAAACTGATGGTCCCAATTATTGAGGAGATTTAATTTCTTTATTTTCGTTGGGAGATACTGTTTTTAAGGTTTGGATGTATTGCTTTTGAAATTCCATTGAGCACCTAGTTGACGTGGCTCAGTAAACAGTTGAAAACAGATCTGAATGTCAGGAGAGAGAACTCAGCATGTGAGCTGCATGTGTTCATGATGTCATTAGAGACAATATGTACCATGAAAAGAGAAAAATACTTTAAGTCCTATGAAACACCATCTCCCCTTAAAGCATTGGTTCTCAACCTTTCCAATGCCGTGACCCTTTAATACAGTTCCTCAACCATAAAATTATTTTCGTTGCTACTTCATAACTGTAATTTTGCTACTGTCATGAATCGTATTTTAAATATCTGTGTTTTCCGATGGTCTTAGTCGCAACTCATAGGTTAAGAACCGCTGCTGTAGAGCCTAAGACCGTCGGAAAATACAGATATTCACATTACGATTCATTAACAATAGCAAAATTATAGTTATGAAGTAGCAACAAGAATAATTTTATGGTTGGGGGTCACATAACATGAGGAACTATATTAAAGGGTCAAGGCATTTGAAAGGTTGAGAACCACTGCCTTAAAGGAATAAATGAATAAGAGGCACTTTCTTCATTTTCTGTAGATGGTCCCAGTAATAAAAGAGAAGTAGGGGGGACTGGTTTTTCAGAAACCAAGGAAATGCAGTTTTAGGAAGGAAGTTGGGTTCAGTAGTCATAGGGGCGACAGTTGAATGGGTGGTTAACATCATCGTCTTATTTTTAAAATGTGGTCATTAGTAGAAATTTCATTATGACATTCCATGGAATTCTGGGAAAGAGCCGAAACTGGATTTAGGGGTAAATGAAAGTTGAGACATTGGACATGAACACCATAGACTTTCTTAAAGGAAATCTAATGGAAGAATAATAAGAAGCAGTAGTTGGAGGTAGATGAAGGAATGAATAAAGGTTTTAAAGTGGTTTTCCCCTGCCTTTATACTAACAGGCACATGAACATTTTTGTGGACTTAAAGGAAAGAAAACTGTAATGCAGAAAGAGATGGAAGACACTGGATAAAGAGAGTCTAATGGAAAGATTTGAATTCCTAAAAAATGTAGAAAGAAGAGATTAAATGACAAGATGGTATTTTTCCTCTGGTGTCATTAGCCTGTGTCAAAGGAAAAACATCTCTTTATCTGAGTCTCAAAAGAAAATGATGAAGACAATTAACTTTGTAGATAAGTTTCTAAAATGAGATAATGTAACAATATATGAGCTAGGTAACTGGAAAGCATTTTGTCACTAAAATTATTGTTATAAAGGGTATTATTCCTTTTTTGAGAAGTATGTGGGTGTTTTCTCTTCATCAAGTTTACCTATTTTTAAAGGCAATAGAACATTTTCACAAGCTCTTGGGTACTGCAGAAAACTGCTCTTTGTTCTCAGCAAGAAATATACCCTTAACAGCAAAGCATATCAATTTCATGATCAGATTGTTAAAATTTTGTAATGAAAATGTACATTTATGTATAGATGTAAGATGTTCATGTGCTTGGAAATGGTTTACTCTATTCAAACTATTTTTATTTTTATTTGTTCACTATTTTAAAATGTTTTTTTTATTGATTTTAGAGAGAGAGGAAAGGAAAGGGAGAGATAGAAACATTAATGGGTGGTCTCCTGCATGCCCCTGTCTGAGGGTCGAGTTCATAACCTGGGCATGTGCTCTGCCTGGAATAGATCTGTGATTTCTTTGTTCCCAGGTAGACACTCCACCACCAAACCATGCAGGCAGGGTGACTTTTTACATTTTTTATTTGTTGACCCTATTACAGTTGTCCTTTTTAACAAACGGTATTAGAAATAATTATGAAACTACTTTATGCTAATGATAGGAGTGAGCAATCTTTAATTTCAAAATGATTTGCTTTAGATATTTTTAATGATGCCCATTAAATAACAAACTGAGGATTTTAAAATACTCTCTAAGATGATAAGCTTTTATCAGTAGCCTTCTCATTTCTCAAAGCTCCATTCTACCAGCCTTTCAAAAACCTCAGCAGCTGGCATGTAGAATCTGCAATTTGTGGTTGATAACAGCAGTGCTCAGACCCCAGAGAGGTGCCAAATGTCTGTAAGATACTCGCTGATTACAAGAGGAGAGGGATTGGCCAAAAAGACCTCTGTGAGAGCTTTTCAACTAAGTCCAGTGCCCTGACACTGTATTTTCAGAGATATGATTATAATTGAATCTCAAATAGGTCATGAGGGCGGGGTCTGGAATGGGTGGGGTAACCCATGTGGCCACTGCCCATGCGCCTCCTAGGGGTGTGGGGTATGGAGTCTTAGGGTCTGTAGTGAACTGAAATGTGCCCAATATTCTGAAATAAGGAAATAACAATGTGGATAGTCTTTAATCTTTCTCTTTGTGTCTTTATGGCTTCTGATTCAATTCTGACTCTCTAACCTGTGGACCTAGATTGCACTTTGTCTTTTGGGCAGTCATGGACCAGTATTTCCCAAACATTATGGCTAGAGAGAGAGGCATTTCATATTTAAATAAATACACATATAACCACATATGAATATATATGTATTTAACTTAGGTTTCTTTTCTGAAATGATGAAAAAAAATGTGCATGCTTCAAGAAGAAATGTAGGTGGTTTTTCTGTCCAGTGGGAGAGAAAAGATTGTGGGAAAGAGAAAAGTTCAGTGAGGATAAAGGGCTTTTTGAAAATACTTCTTTTTAAAACAAATATATTTTCATTGATTTTAGAGAGGAAGAGAGAGGGATAGAGAGATAGAAACATCAATGATGAGAGAGAATAATTGATCAGCTGCCTCCTGCATGTCCCCTACTGGGTTTGTAGCCCATAACCCAGACATGTGTGTGTCCTTGGCTGGAATCAAACTTGGGACCCTTCAGTACACAGGGTAAAGCTCTATCCACTGAGCCATACCAGATAGGGCTAGGCCTGGAATACTTCTTAATACTTTCTGATGCAACATACATGCAACTGATACCTCTCCAACATTTTCTCCCCTGAGGAATATTTTCCTTCTATTTAGAATTTATTTTTATAGTACCAGGTCAGCATTTTTATGGCCCCTTAACCATTTTTATTTTCAAAACATAAAATAAAAATTTGTGGTTTTGTGTATAGTAACACGGTCCTATCTCCAAATTTCTCTTTCCTCATGCAGAGGGTTACTCCTGCAGGAGAACAGCAGGTTTGCAGAAGCGCTACATTATTATAAACTGGCGATCGGGAGCAGGCCTACCCTGGCTTGTAAGTAACAGTCAAGTTTTTCTTTTTTCTTTTTCTTTTTTGTAGTGTTTATTTTTAAATATCTTTTTCTTTTCCTCTTTATGCATGAAAATTATTTCTTTGACTTACAACCCCATGGTGCTCCTGTTTTGAAAATTGGCCAATCAAATTATAAGCCTCTAACAATTATCTCTCTCATTTTAATCATGTTTTGATATCAGTTTATTATTTCTTAATATGTTCAGATAAATACAACTTTTATTCATCTAGATTGTAAGTTCAGAATGTTTTGAACTTTTTGAGAACAAAGACTATTCCAGGTATTTTTCAGTGGTGCCAACACTTCTTACTATATTAATTGTTCCCATATGTATTTGTTGCTTAAATATTTATGTCTTGGTTTCTTTTAAAATCAGAAATAATCCATAGACAGTAAATTGAAATAAAGGTAACTTACTGTATCCAACGTGCACATCATCTTCTTACATTTATATTTCCATGTTTTCCTCTCAGCTGCATATTTAAACACCGGCATTATTCTGATGAACCAAGGAAAGACAGAAGAAGCCCGACGTACATTTCTAAAGTGTTCTGAGATCCCTGATGAGAACCTGAAGGACCCTCACGCGCATAAGAGCTCAGTGACCAGCTGTCTGTACAACCTGGGAAAACTCTACCACGAGCAGGGACACTATGAGGTCAGGCCCAGACCTCTCTCCCCTTTTCCTTCCTTCTTGTTCTGATCCCGTCTCAGTGCTTTCTACCTTATGATTTCATCACTGTGAGCATTTAAGAAGCTAATGTTGTTTTATTGAAAGAGTTTCAAGATGAAATTCATCTGGGGATGGGGGGGCCCTCTGCTAAAGAACACTTACCGCCTAGTCGGTTTGGCTCAGTGGATAGTGTCAGCCCATGGACTGAAGGGTCCTGGGTTTGTTTCCGATCAAGGGCACATGCCTCCATTGCAGGCTCGATCCCCAGCCCTGGTAGGGGTGCATGTTGGAGGCAACCAATTGATGTGTCTCTCTCATGTAAGTGTTTCTCTGTTTCTCCCTCGCCCTTCCACTCTCTCTAAGAATCAATGGGAAAAATATCCTTAGGTGAGGATTAACAAAACAAACAGCAAAGAATACTTACCAGATTTCTTTTTGTGTTGTTAATCCTCACCCAAGGATATTTTTTCCATTGATTTTATTTTAAAGAGAGTGGAAGGGAGGGAGGGAGAGAGGGAGAGAGGAAGGGAGGGAGAAGGAAGGGAGAGAGAGGGGAAAAAATTATATATATATATATATATATATATATATATATATATATATACACTAGAAAAATTTATTTTTCTAGTGTTTAAATTAAAAAATCTATGTAAACTGAAATTTTATATTAAAATAAAAGAGCTTTGAGCCAAGACCGGTTTGGCTCAGTGGATAGAGCGTCGGCCTGGGGACTGAAAGGTCCCAGGTTCGATTCTGGTCAAGGGCATGTACCCAGTGGGGAGTGTGCAAGAGGCAGCTGATTGATGATTCTCTCTCATCGATGTTTCTAACTCTCTATCCCTCTCTCTTCCTCTCTGTAAATAATCAATAAAATATATTTTAAAAAAATAGCTTTGTAATATTCAGCTACTTATGACACTAAATTTTTATCTGGCCTTCTTCACTCACTGGGTTGAATATTTTTATTCATGAAATCGTAGTAGTATGACATAAAAGTACAGCTGAATTATTTCCCTCCAGTGAACTATTTAGAAATAGCAATGGAACTTTGTAATTTTGAAAGGATGTTATTTTATTTTTGGTGAATATTGTAGTCTTTCATCTTTTTGTTGTTGTTTGTTTCTTAAATTAGGAAGCCCTTACTGTATATAAAGAAGCAATTCAGAAAATGCCAAGGCAGTTTGCTCCACAGAGCTTGTACAACATGATGGGTAAGTCAAACCTTAAAATTTCAATTGCTGTTTCAGGGACCTGTGGGGAAATTAAAACCTGTGCTTTTGTTAAATCAAATTCTAATAAGTGATAGCATTGATCCTGACTAGAAAACTCTTTATTCACAATTGGGTGTCACATTCAGATTTTCACATAGCATACTTTTTCTAAGAAGAGCAAACACGTGCATTATCATATTGATCCTCAACAAATTGTCCAAATCGCAGAGATCTTATAGGGGCTCACAGCTTTTTGGGGTATTAAGAGTTAGCTGGATTCCGGAGATTGAAAAAGATGAATAAAGTCCACAGATTTTAGTGAAGTTATCAAATTCATGATACGTTTTTTTTTTCCGACTAATTTCTTTCTTTTTTTTTTAATTTTAATTTTTGCATTTTTAAATTTTTATTTATTTATTTATTTATTTATTTATTTATTTTCATGATACTTTTAAATCATGTTACTTGCTTAAGCAGAAGATCCTCAAAAGGAAACATGCTGTGATGTAGAGATGAATGCTTTTTGGTGCTTGTAACCGATGGGATTAACAGAGTCAATTTGTATGGTTTTCATTGATCAGGGCTTGGATCTTCATAGGAAGTATGCAGGCTAGGGCATTGATTTTTCTAAGTGCAAGAGCTCAAGAATTAGAATTTCTAATAAAATATCTATCACTTTCAATTGATTTGTGACTGTGAATTGTTACCTCAGCTATTTGATGGTCAATGGAAGCTGTTCATTCAGCATGTGACTCTTGGAAAGAGGGCCTGAATTTAAGGTGCTCTGCTGATTGGTTAATGTTGCTGTTTCCAGATAAGGGAGGGAAGAGAAGGGCTTGCTTTTGTCCTCAAGTCAAATATATATATATATATTTTTTTTTTAATTTTTTTAATCCAGAGCACAAAATGCAAACTCAGATTTTTCTTTTTATTAAACTGGTTAAGTTGCTTACTATTTCTAGGCTTTTCTCGTGCATATAAAAGTAATGAGACAACATGGTCTCTAGGATTATTTTATGTTTTTGGTTTCTATTATTTGAGAGATTTGATACTAGTTTGTATAGCTTGAATACACACATGTTAAAAAAAAAAAATCTAAATCCTCTCAAACTATAGAATGTGTGCCTGGCCTAGCCAGTGTGGTTCAGTGGTTGAGAATTGACCTGGAGGTCTTGGTTAGATTCCTGGTTAGGGCACATGACCAGGTTGCAGGCTCAATTCCCTGTAAAGGGCATGCAGGAGGAAGCTGATCAGCAATTCTCTGTCATCATTGATGTTTCTATTCTCCTTTTCCCTCTCGTTTCCTGAGAAAAAGAACAACAAAAAAAGAATATATGCCTGGCAAGGACACACACTTTCCCTTTTTTCTAAATGACAGAAATTTAAGAAATAGTTTAGAGACAGAATAAGGCAAGGGTCAGTAAACAGAAAAAAATTATAATTTGGAAGAGGTTAATATATTCATTCTATGTCTCTGGGACCCCTGCCCCAGTTAGCCTGTGCAGCCGTGGAATAATTTAATGCTCATATTAAAAAGGACATTGGAGTATTTCTAGTTGTTGCTTCTTTTTCTCTTTGCTATGATTACTAAAAGCAAAAATTTACCTTCATTAAATGTACTTTTGCCCTTAAACTCTTATAATTTAAAATAGTGTCTTATACTATCCATCAGTCTATCTACTCAGATGAAATGTACATACATGCCCAGGAAGTGTATATTTAGAATGTTTAGATTTATCAGAATTAACTTTTAAACATTAATACTGGATGGTTATTTCTGTCAAAGTGAACACTAAAAGGATCATTTTTACTAGTTTTATCTAAAGAGGCACAATGATTTTAGTTTATGATTTTATTCTTAATGCTAATGCTTGGGAAGGCCATTATTTCCAATTTCCCTCAATTATGAAATATGATGTCTTTCTTTAAACTGGGAAGGGACTTTGAGATACTTGGTAACAGACTGCATTTGGCATCTTGATTGTTAATAGGAAGTGTGGCGTTCACTATAGTTAGTGATTTCAGAAAATCCATTCAATTATTTTATGTTAATTGATTGAAAACTCAGCTGGTACCTTGGGATCTGTCTCTCTATGGTTACATGGTTACACAAATACTGAGCACACACAGGCAGTGGAAGATAAGTTTGTCCATGAGGTTATTGTTTAGTCCTTTATCTTATTTTCCATTATATAATAGAAAGAGGCAGTAGCTTTGCCCAGACTCTGAAAAGCACTCTAACAATTTTCAAGGGGAGAATTCCAATATAATTTAAAATTGCAGATTTCTCCCCTAATTATTGTGGTTTCCTTCTGTTCAATTTTGTGTGAAGGTCTGTTATCTGACCAGGCTTGTACCGTGTTTCTCTGAAAATAAGACATCCTCCGAAAATAAGACCTAGCGCATGGAAAGATAAGACATTCCTTGAAAATAAGAGCTAGCACAACTTTGGGAGAAAAAATTAATATAAGACACTGTCTTCTTTTCAAGGAAACAGGGTACTTTCAACTATTTATGAAATTATAATTTTCTCAGAGAGTGAGTCCACCACCTAACCAAATGAGTGAAAACCTCTGAGTGTTTGCTTTAACTCCTAATACATTTTGATTAGCTTCCATTTGACAAGGAGAAAAAAAAAAGACCCAGGAGATAAACTGCCTTACCAGTTCATCAGTTTCATTAGTCTGTCAGCATGTGCTGATTATCCTATCAAGTTTATCAACAGCCTTGAATGTGTTTTCTCATCCTCACATTTACATATTATTAGTGCCCTTCAGGGATCAGTGATGGATTATAATGTCTGGCTAGATTTAACCTGTAAGTATTCATTTTTCTCATGGCTCATTCATTTCCCCTTAATGACCACTTTCTGTAAACACTTGTGTGATGTATACAAAGATTCTTTTCCATCCTGCTTTTTCTTTTATTTGAAGGTTAGAAGAAATAAAGGAATATTTGTGAAAAAATTACAGTCACATTTGAATGTTATTATTAGTTTAATAACTCAATTTACTGCAGTTACTCTTTTAAAAAAAAATACATACAAAAACATACTAGTTCTTTGCACTTTCCTTTCCCTTGAAAATTTTTTATTTTTTATTTTTATTTTTTATTTTGAAGGAATATTTAATATTAACATTGTGAGTTATTATCTTTTGGATATCAAAGTTACACATTTCAAACAAATCATCATTTATATTTACAGTATACAAATGCAAAGCACTAATTTCCCACTAAATCATCACTTCCTTAAAATGGTACATGTGATGTTGAACATTTTATGAAAAACTTTTATCACTCTCTTCCATATGCTAATAGTTGACTTATTCTGAATACCAAATAAGCAAGTATATTTTCCCAATTATGTATTAATAGAAAAATACATTTGATTTATTTCCCAGTTTAATTTTTTGTATATTTTATCCTAAGATTGCTAATCTTTACTCTGGCAGTTCATAAGTAAATTTTTAAAAACTATTTAAAAATACCTTCTTACTATTCTGTTTGATTTCATAAATCCTAGGTGATTGAATAACAACAATTGAGAAGTATCATCCCATTCAAAATTATGTAAATTATAAACATAAAAATAATGAAAAGCAGATACTAAATATTATAAACAAAAATTAAACTTCCACCTACATGGTGGTTATAATTAGCAAGGTATGAGGATACATAAAATATTTTAAGATCAAATCACAAAATAACCACTAAATGGAGATTCAGTATAGTGTGAAGTCAGATAGCCCAGGTTCAAGTGATGGCTTTGACACTTACGAGCTGAGCAAATTATTAAGTAAAGCCTCATCTCTCCCTTCCGTTAGTGGCTGTAATAGTAGTGTCAGCTTGAGGATTAATTGGGTTGAAGAAAGTAAAGTTATTGGATCAAATGCCCAACCTAGGAAGTATATTTAGATTATCTCCATTATAATCATTACCATTTCTATGGATCTTTAAGCTCCAAATGCCAATGACTGTATTCTCTATCAGGTATTTTTGTATTTGCCAATGTAAGTATTATTTTTCTATAAATAAGATTTTGTCATAGTGATGGCCTTACAGTCACCACTGATTCAATGAGGATTCTACTTAGTTCTGTCCTAGAACTGCTGTATTTTCTCTAGAAGTTCATTTTCCCTTGTCCCTTAGCAACCATAGTCAAAATCATTCTTTGATCAGTAACTATGTTAACCAAAAGTGAAAAAGCTTACTCAGCTAATGCCCAGTTAACTTAAATTCACTAATAGAGTACTTCTTCTAAATTAAAATTGTCATTTTAGGTTAGTTTCTTCTGTTTTTCTTATCATGGCATATTTTCCCCCTAGACTTATTTAAAATTATTTTTTATGTTAACATCCAGTACAGGTCTTTATTGAATCTCTATTTTTCTTTTATTCTCAAAGCATAGGTGTGTTTTAGAATCAGAGAATATTGACATTGGAAGACTCATATCTTAAAATCCTACTAACATAATCACTTCTATTTTGCAAGATAAAAATAAACTCTCAAAGTATATGCTCAGTATTATACCATTTGTATTAGAACCAGTATAGCTTTCTGACTTAAACTCAAGTGCTTTTTCTATTTAAGCTTCTGTATTACTGAAACTGGCATGCTTCGTACTGTGTCAATATGACTTTTCTTTGCCTATTTAAAAATCAGTGAAATATATTTATATTTCATAGACATATTTTTATTATATATCTACTAGAGGCCCATTGCACAAAATTTGTGCAAGGGGCTCAGCTCTCACAGCCCCTGCGTGTTTTGGAAGGTCATCCCGAAGGTTGTTCAGCTGTCCGGTCTAATTAGCATGTTGTGCTTTTATTATTATAGATTACATAGATATGTAACAAAAACCTCTTCATCTTAACAAAAAAGAATAATGTGATTTCATCACAGATGTATTAACCATGCAGGGTATTATTATTTTTTTAACTTTTTTTTTTAATGTAGGATAATTGCTATCTATCCTCAATTTTTCTCTTCTTTCTCTATAA